ATCGCTTACTTCGTTCTACCACGTCTTTGCTACTGAATTTGAATAAAACATATCTATTCACGACTTAATAAATTAATTTTTACGTAAGTAATAAATTAATTTTCACGCAGTCAAAAAATTAATTTTCATAACTTTCTGATATCTTATGGATAAAATTTCAATTTTCTGTATATGAATAGTTTTGTTTATTCATAAAATATACACTAAATTTTGCTATATTATAGTACAACGATCTGGAGGGTGGTAAAGAAGTAAAAAGAAGAAAAACATCAGCAGCCTTTTTTCTTGATCGTCCATTCCTGGGATCCGGTATTTATTTCCCGGATACCAAATTCTGAAATTCAAAATTTTCTCTCCAAGTCACTACTCTCGACCACATATTATCTGCTTTTTACTGGCGTAACAATCTGCTGACCCGCCTCATCAGTCATGAGGACGGGGTTCAGGATATCGTCATGGTTAATACATTTTTGAATTTAAATTTGAGAACTATTTCAATTTAGATAATAAATTATTATTTTATTTTGTATATACAAGTAATTTATATCATTCAGTAAATCAGTGCTGATTAATTTTCATTATAAAATTATTCATGAATATTAGGAATTTTCATTATAAAATTATTCATGAATATTAGGAATTTTCATTCATGTTTTGCTAAATCAAATTAACAAATAAACATAGCCTAAAATTTAGTGTGACTCAATATAACTGTATTCAATTCTTCAAATTTTTTCAGATATTATTATTATTATTATTATTATTATTATTATTATTATTACCATTAATATTGCATTAATATTATTATTATAAATGGTAAGTTTGGAAAATTTCAATATATTTCATTATATGGGTTGAAATTTTTAAAATATTTTTTGGAACTAATTATGATTTCTCAACTTATCAGTGATATGAATTCAATGCAATACATGCATTACCGTAATACTCATTATGATGCATGTGTTCCATTTCTGATTGGTCACTATAACTATCTGTTTCTTTATTTTTTATTTTCAAATAATAAATGATAATTTTAATGCACGCAAGTCATAGTGTTGTAAATTAGACATCAAAATTCTTGAATTATCGAAAAATTTAAGTTTCAAACTTTACAAAAATTAGAGAAAAAAGTATAAATAAAAAAATTAGCATAAATATGATGAAAAATTTATATGCATAAAATATAAACTTTCAAATGAATGAAAAATTTTTTGCTCAAAAATCGAATAGCAAAAAGTTCAGTAAGAAATCAAACAAACTTTCATGTCATCAAAAGTTTCTTGACTTAGTTATAATGTTAAGACTTAAATGATTTTTTCAGGTTTCTATCATTCATAATTGCCGTAGTGTTCACATCAACAGTTGATATGGTTAGTTTTTGTAATAAAAAATAAATTATACAAAAAATTTTTCAAAATTAAAAATGCAAAAAGTTTGTTATAATTATTTGAATTTGTTTATAGAAATTAAAGTTATTT